CAAAGTTATACATCATAAATCTTGCTCTCAAAGTCTACCTCCTCAATTTTGGCTGATTCGTTGTCTATTCATGTATTCCACAGACATCAAGTTGGTTGTGGAGCTTTAATCCGCTGCTTCTGAGGCTGCTGGGAGAGATTTCCCTTTCTCTTCTTTGTTCTCACAGCTCCCAGGGACTCAGCTTTGGATTGGGCCCCGCCTCTGCATGTAGGTCGCTGGAGGGCGTCTGTTCTTTGCTCAGACAGGACGGGGTTAAAGGAGCCGCTGATTCGGGGGCTCTGGCTCACTCAGGCTGGGGGGGGAGGGGCACGGAGTGCGGGGCGATCCTGCAGCGGCAGAGGCCGGCGTGACGTTGCACCAACCTGAGGCGCGCCGTGCGTTCTCCTGGGGACGTTGTCCCTGGATCCTGGGACCCTGGCAGTGGTGGGCTGGACAGGCTCCCCGGAAGCGGGGTGTGGATAGTAGCCTGTGCTCACACACAGGCTTCTTGGTGGCGGCAGCAGCAGCAGCCTTAGCGTCTCATGCCCGTCTCTGGGGTCTGCGCTTTTAGCCGCGGCTCGCGCCCGTCTCTGGAGCTCCTTTCAGCAGCGCTCTTAATCCCCTCTCCTCGCGCACCAGGAAACAAAGAGGGAAGAAAAGGTGTCTTGCCTCTTCGGCAGGTCCAGACTTTTACCCGGACTCCCTCCCGGCTAGCCGTGGCGAACTAACCCCCTGCAGGCTGTGTTCACGCCGCCAACCCCAGTCTTCTCCCGGCGCTCCGACCAAAGCCGGAGCCTCAGCTCCCAGCCCCGCCCGCCCCGGCAGGTGAGCAGACAAACCTCTCGGGCTGGTGAGTGCCAGTCGGCCTTGATCCTTTGTGGGGGAATCTCTCCGCTTTGCCCTTTGCACCCCTGTTGCTGTGCTCTCCTCCGCGGCCCTGAAACTTTCGCTTTCCGCCACCTGCAGTCTCCGCCCGCAAAGGGTCTTCCTAGTGTGTGGAAACCTTTCCTCCTTCACAGCTCCCTCCCACTGGTGCAGGTCCCGTCCCTATCCTTTTGTCTCTGTTTGTTCTTTTTTCTTTTGCCCTACTCAGGTACGTGGGGAGTTTCTTGCCTTTTGGGAGGTCTGAGGTCTTCTGCCAGTGTTCAGTAGGTGTTCTGTAGGAGTTGTTCCACGTGTAGATGTATTTCTCCTTGTCTGGTTTTGGTAACAGTGCTATGCCAGCATCATAAAGATAGTTGGATAACTTTCTGCTCTTTCTATACTTTGGAATAGTTTATATTACTTGGAATGATCTGTTGTTTTATATTTTGCAGAACTTCATGGTGGCAAGACTGCCCATTGCCCTCAATACTCATTTTATCTTTTAAATATAGGAGTGTGAGCTCCATATTCTTTCATTCCATCAGGACTTTTTTTTTTTTTTTGGCCTCACCGCGCGGCTTGCAGGATCTTAGTTCTCCGATCTGAACCTGTGCCCCCTGCAGTGGAAGCACGGAGTCCTAACCACTGGGCCACCACGGAGTTCCCTATCAGGACTCTTTTTTACAGCCAGAGCCACGAATCTCCTGGAGGAGGCAGTTGGGAGAATGGTTAAGAGCCTGGGTCCTGGAGTCAGGTGCCTGTGTTTGAGTCTGGTTCCTCATCCTTTTGCCCCTCTGAGCATTTGTTCTTCAGCTTCCTCCTTCCTGCTTCATCTGGTACCCATCTCCTCTTTCCCTTTTCCAGAATTGTGGTCCTCTTTATCCTCTGACGGCCCTTGTTTCACTCTGTTCCCAATTGTGAGCTTTTTTGGTGAAGTTAATTGCTTTCTTTTCATTTTCCTTAGATCTTAGGAGAGAGGAGAGTAAATGTGTTTTTAAACAGCTAAATGTTCTCTTCTGCTTTATGTTTTTCTGTTGTTTTAGTTTCATTCTCCAGCTTTCTTTTATTTTAGATGTGTCCATTATAAAACATCATATGGTTGGATATTTTTAAAAACCTAATATGAGATTCTGTTAATAGATGAATTGTACCCATTTCCATTTAATACAGACTTATTTCCATCTTTGGGTTTTCTATCCTGCTTTCTTATTTTTTTCCGTTTCATACTTCCATTGAATTGATGGAGATTTCTTCTTCATATTTTTTCTCTAACGTTTTAGGAGTTGTGGCTGAGGCTGCTGGTTGCCTGCCCCCTGCCCTCCATACCTACTCTCTCTTCTATCTTGTAAACGGCACCCTGACATGGGGCATATTGACTCGTTCACCAACATTCTTGTTCCCTCTCCTTTCAGGCATGTTGGAAGATTGTATTTTCCTTCTCCTTGAAGTTAGACACAGCTGCATGGCTGTTGAGCCAATAAAAAGTGAGCAGAAGTGAAATAAGACACTTCCAAGTGGAAACCTACAACGCTGGTGCTCTTCTCTCCAGTCCTTCCTTCCCCTACTTCGAGGAGTGCAATCACAGGAGCTCATATCCACATGGAGGTGATGTAAGCATGGAGCAGCCTGGAAGACTGAGTAAGCACCCGGAGGGACACCGCATGGAGAATTGCCTGGAGCCCCGCAGATTTGTGTGAGTGAGAAATACATTTCCGTTAAGCCATTGAGATTTGGAAGTTTGCATCACAGCAGAATCTAGCCTCTTTGGTTACACCTGGCGGCAATGCGTGTCCTTGTAGCCGGGAAGGTCTGGTAACAGTTCTAGCCAATGAAATATAAGTGGAGGGGGCTGGGTGAGTGAGCCTTCTGGGAAAGGTCTTTAAAAGAAATGAAGTCAGCTGGCAGAAGTGTTTCTCTTTTTGCTCTTCATCTACTCTCCTGAAATGCAGACATGATGGTTGGAACTCTAGGAGTCGTCCTAGAGTAAGAGGACTAGTCCCATCCTAGGAGTGCAGGGTGGAAACAGAGAAGATGGGACCTCCTGATATTATGCAACTGCTGTACCTTGGCCTTGCCACTGCTGGGCTTTGTTTATGGGAGAAGAAAACAAACTTTTGTTTAAGCCGCTGGTTTTCAGGTTTCTGTTCCTAAGAGCCCAGTACAATTCCCAGCTGTTACGGAAGTTAAGTAATTTTCGTTCTTCTATTATTTATACTAAAGTTTTTTTTATGTTTTTATTGTGGAAATGTTCAAACACATCCAAAATGAGACAGAGTAGACAACATTCCAGCTTCAACAATTATCAACTCATAGCCAAACATCTTTCATTGATACCTCCCACTTTCCCCTCCTGGGTTGGGTCTTGTGGGGGTGGTCCTGCCTGCTCTCCTGGAAACCATGTTGTTTTTAGCCTGCCCCCAATAGATAATCCTACTGTGTCCCCCCCAACAGACCTAAATCCACCTTCTATGATGCCCATGGTCCCTGCCTTGGCCTCAGGTGGTGAGGTCGCCACAGTCTGTGGCTTCTTGTCTCTGTCCTAGGCCTCTTTGGGACCACCAGTCCTTTTGGCATGTCTTACTTGTCCCATCTTGGGGGTCTAGGGACTCTTGGCTACTTCCTAGCCCCATAGGGAGTATACCGGGCTCAATGAGGGCAGCCCTTAGACCCACTACTTTGGTACCTTCCTTGGCTTTTTTGTTTGTTTTGTTTTTTGGCCATACCACATGGTTTGCAGGATCTCAGTTCCCTGACCAGGGATTGAACCCGGGCCATGGCAGTGAAAGCCCAGAATCCGAAACACTAGGCCACCAAGGAACTCCCCCTTCCTTGGCTTTTACTTTTTGCCTCTGAACCATGCAGCCTCCCCCAGATTCCCCTGTGCCTACTGGAGTGACCTGAGGGGAGGGGCTAAGGGCAGGATCTGGCAACAGGCTGCAGCAGTACCTAAGCCCCCTCACACTCCTCTGTCTCAGGGCAGTGAATGGGCTTTTGTCTCTTCCTGTGTGTCTGGAACTTTCTCTACCTGCCCTGTGCCCTACCCCCTTTTGCTGTCAGAATCTGTGGTCACCCTCTTTAAGGTCACACTCTATCCTAAGTTCTTTGTTCTGAAGATATGAAAGCCCAGTTTGGAAGTGCCCAGAAAACAAATTTTCTTCTCAACTCAGTCCAGCCCTTCTACATAATAAGCACTTATCTCCAGACTACTAATTTATGATGCACCTGAACAAATTTGATTTTTAGAAACAAAGCTGAACAAAGACCTCTTTACACCAGCAACATCCACCCGGCAAAATGGGAGTGGGTGGGGTAGTGGTCAGAACCAGTGTCCTTCGATAATGTGTGTGAATGTGTGTGAGTAATCCAGCGGGATGTTGGTCAGCCCAGTCAAGCTGCCAGACATGCATGGCAGTGGCTGTGGGCATCTCATTTAGGGTTTGACATGTGGGAAAGAGAAAGAAGACAAGGCAGGATGGAGACCTTAGAGCAGTGGGATCAGATCTGAGGTTGGTGATGCATGAGGTAAGGGGCTAGAGAGCATGGGGTGGGCGTCTTGTGGCAAAGAGACTAGATGTAACCTGGGGACCTTTTCCAGGTCTGAAGGGGACCTGTAGGAGATGAGCCTTCACTTACTAACTACCTTCTTAGGGACCCAGGAGGCTAGGCCCATCTGAGGGTCAGTTTATTTCTTTGTTGAACAGGCCTGGGTCACATATCTCTTGGGGCCATGATGTCACCTGGGGGAGGAGCATGAATGGGGATACCAAGTCCCCCAGAGTTCTCTTAGGCTCACTCCTGACTCAAAGCTGCAAGCATGCTCCTCCCATCCCCACTTCAGTGTTTCAGTGTATTCTCAGGAAGAGTTCCTTATGCAGCTCAGTTCTCAGTGATGGTGGGGAACAGAAGAGAGGATCTATGAGGTTCTGAGAGGTCTACCTCTAAGAAATCCCACATGTGGCCTCATCCCTGCTAAGGAGAGAAAGATGGCTCAACAAATCTAGGCAACTAGCCACAGACCTTGCTGCTAAAAGAGCTTCTCTCCTGACTCCTGTTCTATGCTTCATTCCTCTGCCTGGGGCTCTCTGATGCCCAGCATCCATGGGGTTAGACCATCCCTGGCTTCTCAAGACCCCTGATTTTTTTTTTTTTTTTTTTTCTCATGTCAGACGGGTAATGTGCCACAGTCGTAACAAGGTTAGAAGGAGGCACATGTCACACAAGCGCGTGAACACCCAATCATCACACTTATGAACTACAAAAGGATCCTCAAGACCCCTGATCTTTGAAGGGACTCTTGCAGGTGGTGGTGAAGACTTTGGATGAAACTTGGCTTTCTTGGGCTGCCCCAGAGTCTCCATTGTTCACACCTGTGTGGTGCCATCTTCCTGGGATCCCCTCTACCTGGGACAAGAGGCCCAGCCTACTTTCCCCCAACAGCCTCTCCCCATCTCAGGCCCCAGCTCTCAGGAGGGGCTGCATCTTCCTGCTTCCAAAGGTTTTTGACCCAAAGCAGCTCTGCCTCTAGATCCCCATTTTACTTTGCATTCTTAGCTCATCAGAGAGCAGAAAGCCTTGATTACCTTGAGCCCACTGAGTGTTCAGCTTGGAATTCTGCACGACTGTTCCCAGGTGGGACCCCACAGGCTGATTGGCGGGCATATGACCCAGGCTGGGAAGGACTTAACTCAGCGGTTTTCAAATTGTGGCTGCACATTGAACTTCAGTGCCTAGGCCACTTCCCAGCCAATTAAAGCAGAATCTCTGGGTGGGCCCAGGCATCAGTATTTTTTTGTGTGTGTTTTAGGGTATTCCAATGCCCAATGTAGGTTGTGAATCAGAGAGTTAAATTCTTGCCAGCACAGGTTTTAAACACCTCTCACTGCAGGGGTGGGCGCCTAATGGGCTAGTCACACAGAATTCCTGTCATGTTCAGTTTGCAGACCTAACCAGTTTCCTGCCACTCACTGTTGCCAGTATGGGAGGAGAGAGCTGTGTCCAAAGCTCCTAAAAGGGATCCCTTGGAAGAGTGAGGAACCTAGCTGCATCATTGTCACCTTCAGCTACTGGAGGTGATGGATATTGAACTGAACCCTGAATCCTCACATCTGTCACAGCGCTTCTAGGGACACCCTGCCCTGAATCCCAAACACACACACACACACACAATGGGCCCTGTGGTGAGGGAAAACCTTACCCAGTTGCAAGGCCCATGAAGACCTCTGACCTCTGTACACCTCCCCAGCTGGTCTTCCCATCCCTTGCAAGGCCACCCATCGCAAAATTCTGGGGAGGGCCATGGACCTCAGACTTCTGGGATGCAGGTTCAGACAAACATCATATCTGACACAGGGTGAGAGTGAGGGATCTTGGGCATGAATGACAAAGCAGAGAATGAGAGATCATGTTCAGAGATGGTTGAGACATAAATGCCAAGAGATAATGAGAGACTCAGCAAAGCAGAGTTCCATCAGTACCTACTCGAGGCAGGCCCAGCAGAGGGTGTGGTAGTTTGTGGGAGGGTTGGGGAAGAGAGGGAATCTTGAGGGGAGGCTGGCACAGCTGCTTCTGAGGATGTGGTAGGATTTAGAGGCTGCGTCCCCAAGCTAATGACCTCCAATGGCAGAGGGACAGCCATCCACCCCTGCCCACCCCTAATCCTCCTCTGCTTGTTTACCCACTCCAATCCCCAGGCGCTCTCTCCCCTCCTCAACCCCATGCGTGGTTCTCCTCGGAAGTGGCCAGCACAGGGAAGGGAAGCCTTGTCTCTCAGCCCCTGGGGAGGGAGGCAGCAGGCACAGCTGCAGCATCTCAGCTCCTGTGCTGGCCTTCCCCAGGGGCTGGCTTTGGCTGGCCATCCCCCATTGAGGCACAGTGCCTGTCCTGCTGTTGCTCAGCTGGGGTACCCTGTCCTCCTGGCTCCCTGCTAAGCTCTGTGCTGGCCCTGAGGGCCCTGCCAATCACAGACCTGTGGAATCCTGGCCTTCCCAGCTGGCTCTGACTGCAGCCAGTCCTACCCTGAATGGAGATGGCTGGGCAGGGGCTGCAGAAAAATAAAGCCCAATGCCTACCCCAACTTGTGGAGGGAGCTCTGATCAGGCTGGCTGAGGTGTCAGAGACTGACCTGGGCCCTGAGGTTTCTTTTGGGCACAGGATTGGTCAGGTTTGCATTAGGAGCAAGGGCCTAGTGTGAGTTGCCCTGGCATGGGCATTAAGATGATGCCAGGAAATCTTTTCTTTGGGTGGAAGGCAGGAAGGTAAAGGGCCGATCCCTCATCTATGGGTCTGATTTCCAGAGGGCAAGACCATGGTCAGTAAATGTCTTTATTGGAAGAGAGATCCAGTCTCCTTGGCTCTGCCAGCACCCTAGGTCATGAGGATTTCGATGTCGAGCTCCAGCTGGCTGGCTCTAACCTCATAGCGGCCCTGGATCAGGCCTCGGGTTTGGCTGGCATGCCAGCGCCAGTGAGACTGGATGATGCAGGCCGCTTGGTACACCTGGAGAAACCGTCTGCGGGCTTGCCACATTCGAACCTGTGCCAGCACCTTCACCACTGCCCACTCCTGGCAGGTGTAGAGTCTTAGTGCCAGGCGCCGTCTTTGCTCCAGCATCTTGGCCTGCATCGACCTCCACCAGCACTGGATGACCCAGGCCCTGAGTGCTGCATGCAGTAACGTCCAGCGTACCATGTTGCCACGCCACCATGACTGAATCTTTATGGCTGCCTTCTCTAACTGATCGGGGGAAGGAAGAACATGGAGATGCTCAGTGGGGTACCCTCCCACTTCTAGACCCACCTCTGGTGCTGGGAGGAAAGGGGGCCTGGCCCAGGTAGCCCTGGCCTCTCCATCTCTGGGCCCCATGCATCTTATTTCCAAACTCCTACTCACCTTTAGACACTGCTCATTATCTGCTGGGCAGATCCCTTCTATATGGGCCTCACTCACATTTTGTGTGCCCATGGCCCTGGTCTTTAGGCTCCACTCATCTATCAGTTAGGCCACCCTAGTCTTTAGCCCCGCCCTCAACTGTTAGGCACCCCCATCACTAGACTCCGCCCACCTGCACACAAGGCTCCCCTCATCAGGTCCTGTCCATGCACATTTCGCCCACATTTCTTTCTCCTCTTCTTTTGTTTGTATTTCCTTAGGAATTGACCGGTCACCTTATTTATTGATTCCCATCATTTTTGGGGGCCTGCCATTATCTCTTGCTTTCAGTTTATTTCTCAGACTTAACTGGTGTCTTAAGTCTTGCTCTTTATACACCTTCCAGTCACTTATGTCTGTTCCTGCTGGTGGCAGTGAAGAGAGAGATTCATGCAGCTTTCCTTCAAGTAAGGGATTTTACTTAGGACTACTCATCACCAGTGTGGATTTATGGAAGCTTAAGTGTCAGAGCCTTTGGGAGGGATCCAAGCAGTGTGTTCACGGGCTAGTATGTTTTTTGTTAAGTTTGTGAAAGCAAGATATTTTAGCTGCAATTGGAGAGGGCCTCTGTCTCCACCTCTCTGACCCCCTCTGTCACCCTTTTCTTGTTGGGTGCCATGGAATGGCTGCAGTTTCTTTTGGAATGTGACTAAGGGGAAGCTGAGTTGGGATATACTTAGTTTGGGTTAATGTGATAGGTTTATGTGGTTCACAGTCACCCCTGGGAATAGGTAAATTCTTGCTAGCCATTCTGCTAGCAATGGCTTCCAGGAGGAGTTCTCCTTCCAGTTATGTCATCCATTCACCTGTATCATGGTATGAGGATATTGGGACAGAAGTGCTGCTGTGGTGATATGGATACTCCCTACAGTGCCCGGCAGCAGAAGTATATGTACAGGGGAGGAAGAGCAAGATTTGAAAAGTATGGAGACAAAAACCGGTCTGTAGAAAATTCTTCCTTTTATCAGGCATGTTAAACTGTAAGAGGTAGATTCTGTTCTCATTGATGCCTGATTAAAATTGAAGTTTTGTCTTTGTCAGGAATATGTTTGATAATGCAGTGACACAGTTATAAACATTCTAAGCTTTTTTTTCTTTTTTTGGTATAAATTTTGTGAAGTAGAATTTATCAGAATTCCAGCGATTATAGGGAACCAACCAGAACAGCTGTGAATGGTGCATATGTTGGCACAAGAAATCACATTTTATGCATCTCAAATGTCAATAATAAACAAGTTTCTATAGAAAATCATATTGTAAAATCATCATATGAAGAAGTAATCAAAGGTTATGCAGCAAAAAATGTAGGAAAAATATTATAGAGGTAGGACACTTAAGTAATATATACATTGTTATGTTTGTGACATAACAAACATAACAATGTTTGTTATGTTTGCCAACTTTTTAAAATGTGTAATTTTTTTTTTTGCGGTACACGGGCCTCTCACTGTTGTGGCCTCTCCCGTTGCGGAGCACAGGCTCTGGACGCGCAGGCTCAGTGGCCATGGCTCACGGGCCCAGCCACTCCGTGGCATGTGGTATCTTCCCAGAGTGGGGCACAAACCCGCGTCCCCTGCATCGGCAGGCGGACTCTCAACCACTGCGCCACCAGGGCAGCCCTAAAATGTGTAATTTGATGTGATTTCTTTACTTGTCCTAAATATTCACTTGCCTAATTTTAAGTCTGTAATTTTGTATTCTTTTTCTTAAAGTAGGCCTTCCAAATTATATAAGCTTCAGTTCCCACAAAACCTAGGTCTGCCCTGCTGTGCAAATTATATAAGCTTCAGTTCCCACAAAACCTAGGTCTGCCCTGCTGTGCTATAAGAATGCAACTGTGTGTCAAGGGCCCATGGGAGCTCACAGAGAGCTGTGTTTCTAGGATTCAGAGTTAGGACTGGAACTGCAGACGCAGGTGATGCAGAGATGCTGTGAGTCCTTTGGAATTGGGGAGGCCATTCTGGCTCTGCCTTTAGCATGCATGGTATTGCTCATTTTTCTGCATGAGGATTTGCTGGGTGCCCACTGCTCGTGGGGCCATGCGCTGTGGCTCCTGTTTATGTGTATTTTAGCCCTCTTACCATGACTCATACTAGTTGCCATGGTACTGTCCTTTGGCATGTCTTACAGGTTCTGGCGCTATTGTCAAGCAAGCAACCTCTTTGCATCACATTAAAAGTCCTCAAGAGTGGACCCTGTTGCTTCCTTTAACGTCTGCAGTCTGGGTGAGCGGAGTGCTGGTATCAGCCATCTCAAAGGCCTCTATCACTGCATTGAACCTTTGGTCCTGGTGTCAGGTGTCTACTTCCAGCCTAATCTGCTGGATTCCAAAGAAGGAATCACTTAGAAGGGGGCTGTGGTTGTGGCCAGCACTCTGAGGCTCAGTCCATCCAGGCTGGGTTGCCATGGTCAGAACACTAGATCCCACTGTTCCTTGTGGATCTCTCCCCTGCCCCACTCTGGCCTGGCTGTTTGTTGTCAGAATATCCTGGCTTTGTCTCCTTCTAAAAGTCCCTGGAAAAACCTGCCAGCCCCTTTTATGTTCACGCTTTTGTAGTTATTCACAAAGTGGCAGCATATGGGGCCAAAGGGGAAGATGCATTCCCTGAATCCTACTAAGCATTCACAGACAACACTCCTTGGTCTCTTGTTTCCTCACTGCTCCCCTCTCCAGCTTCTGCTTCTCTTTTTCTTGCTTAATTTTTTCCCCTGATTATAAATATAGTATGTCTGTTTCTAAAATTTCAAAAAATGCAGAGACATATAAGGTGGAAAGGGGATTTCCCTTAAAATTTACCCCCAGAGCTATTCTTTCAGACCTTATGCCATGCACAGAGTTAAATTTTTTATTTAAAATTATTTATTTTTTTATTGAAGTATAGTTGATTTACCATGTTGTGTTAGTTTTTGGTGTATAGCAAATCGATTCAGTTTTATCCATATATATATTCTTTCTAGAGTCTTTTCCATTATAGTTTATATAATTTATTTTTAATTCATTTCAAAATAAATTTTGCTTGGCAATCAGTGTTTTCTGCCTTACATTATTACTGTTCCCAGCTTGGAGGGTATCCTGGACAATTAGCTATGCATTTATGGACACAGAACATCCATGTACCTAAAGAAATAGAAAACCGTGTATGTTTCTTTGTATCTTGTTAAATTAATTGAGGTAAAAATCATATAATGTAAAATTAACCATTTTAACTATTTTAAAGTATACAATTCGGTTGCTTTTAGTGCATTCACAATGTTGTACTACCATCACTACTATCTAAGTCCAGTTTCTAATTTCATCTAATTTTAGTTCTAATTTCATCATCCCCAGAAGAAACCCTGTACCCATTAAGTAGTCATTTGCCATTTTCTTTCCCTTGCCCCACACCCTGGCAGCCACTAGTCTGCTTTTAGTCTCTATGGATTTGCCTATCCTGGACATTTTGTATAAATAGAATCATATATTATATGGCCTTTTGTGTCTGGCTTCTTTCACTTAGCATGTTTTCAAGGTTCATCCATGTTGCAGAATATATCAGTAACTTCATTCTTTTTTATGGCTAAATAATATTCCATTGTATAGATACATTTTGTTTATATATTTGTAAATTGACAAATATTTGAATTGTTTTCACTCTTTGGTGATTGTGAATAGTACTGTTGTGAGCATTTGTGTACAGGTATTTGTTTGAACACCTGTTTTCAATTCTTTTAGGTATATACCTAGGAGTGGAATTGCTGGGTCACCTGGTAATTCTCTGTTTAACTTTTGAGGAACCACCAAACTGTTTTCCACAGTAGCTATATCATTTTACATTCCTACCAATCTCCACATCTCCACTTGTTGTTTTCCATTTATTTTTTATTATAGCCATGCTAGTGTGAAGTGCTGTTTCATTGTTCTGATTTGCATTTCTCTAAGACTAATGATGTTGAACATCTTTTCATGTGCTTCTTGGGCATTTATATATGTTTCTTTGGAGAAATGTCTATTCAAACCATTTTCCACTTTTTAATTGACTTATTTTTAATTGGCTTACTTGTCTTTTTTGTTGTTGAATTGTGAGTCTTTTATATATTCTGGACACCATATCCTTACCAGATATATGATTTGAAAATATTTTCTCCCATTCTTCTGGTTGTCTTTTCACTTTCTTTGTAATGTTCTTTTATGCACAAAAGTTTTAAATTTTGATGAAGTCCAATTTAGCTATTTTTCTTTTGTTGCTTGTGCTTTGGTGTCATAGCTAAGAATCCATTGCTAAATCCAAGGTTATAAAGATTTACCCCTGTGGTTTTTTTTTGTTTTTTTTTTTTTTTGCTCGACGGCATGTGGGATCTTCCTGGACCGGGGCACGAACCCACGTCCCCTGCATCGGCAGGCGGACTCTCAACCACTGTGCCACCAGGGAAGTCCCCACTGTGTTTTTTATTCTAAGAGTTTTTTAGTTTTATCTCTTACACTTAGGACTTCAGCCGATTATGTGTTAATATTTGTATATGTTGTGAGGTAACTAAGAGTTCACCTTCATTCTTTTGCATGGGCTTTTCCAGTTGTTCCAGCACCATTTGTTGAAGAGATTATTCTTTCCGTTGTCTTGGTACCCTTGTTGAAATGAATTGAACATAGATCTATAGGTTTACTTCTTGTTTCTCATCCATTGATTTACATATCTATCCTCCAACTTTATCTTTTTCAAGACTGTTTTATTCTGGGACCCTTGCAATTCCATATGAACGTCAAGATTAGCTTGTCCATTTCTGAAAAAAATGGGGGAGGCAGTGGGAATTTTAATAGGGTTGCATTGAATCTGTAGGTCAACTGGGGGAGTATTAAGTCTTCTGACCCATGAACACAAAATATCTTTCCATATATTTAGGTCTCCTTTAATTTATTTCAACAGTGTTTTATAGTTTTAAGTGTCCAAGTCTTGCACCTGCTTGGTTAATTTTTTCCCTAAGTAATTCTTTTTGATGCTATTATAGAATTGTTTTCTTAATTTCATTTTTAAAACCTCCATTGCTATTGTATAGAATTACAAATGATTTTTTTTTAATATTTATTTATTTATTTTGACTGCACCAGGTCTTAGTTGCAGCATGAGGGATCTTTGTTGTGGCATGCAGGATCTTTTAGTTGCAGCATGCAGACTTCTTAGTTGCGGCATGCATGCAGGATCTAGTTCCCCGACCAGGGATTGAACCCAGGCCGCATGCATTGGGAGCGCAGTCTTAGCCACTGGACCACCAGGGAAGTCCCTAATTTTTTTTTTAATGAAGAATTTTATTAAATGTTTTTCTTTTTGCAGCTGTAGAGAGGATTACATGGTTTTCCTCTTATATCTGTTAATATTGTAAATTACATCAATAGATTTTTTTACTGTGGAAATATCCTCACAGTGGTGGGCCTTGGCCATATTTAAGACTACCTGGCACCTGAGCCCCTTGCTTCTAATTATAGAGCTGTAAATGCCAATTTCTTGCTTTCCCAGCTTCCCTAGCTGCTGGGCAGACATGTGACAGGTTTGGCCAGTCAAATGTACCCACTAGGGATTTTCAACTTGTGGCTTGGGATCCAGAAAATCAAGAGAGCATCCTTTGTGCCCATGGTGGAATCTTCATCAGGCTGGTTCTAGGGTGAGGTGTTTTCTGTGGTTCTAGATATGTAGCTTTTCTTTGCTCTGTTTCTGAGCCTACTCTTCAGGCTTCCTTAAAATCTGGTGAGCTAATAAGTATTGTTTCAGTACTTTTATTTTCTGCTTAAATGAATATGAAACAGCTTGTGTTGTTTGTAGTTAAAAACAGTGATCGGGCTGCCTTGGTGGCGCAGTGGCTAAGAGTCCACCTGCCAATGCAGGAGACATGGATTCGAGCCCTGGTCTGGGAGGATCCCACATTCTGCAGAGCAACTAAGTCCCTGTGCCACAACTGCTGAGCCTGCCCTCTGGAGCCCGCAAGCCATAACTACTGAAGCCCTCGTGCCTAGAGCCTGTGCTCCGCAACAAGAGAAGCCACCGCAATGAGAAGCCCACGCACTGTGGCAAAGAGTGGCCCCCACTCGTGGCAACTAGAGAGGGCTCGTGCGCAGCAGCGAAGACCCAATGCAGCCAAAAATAAATAAATAAATTTTTTTAAAAAAAGAACAATGATCAATACACTTGCATTCATGAGATAAATTCTACTCATTTAAGTATTATTTGAAATCATCCCTGGATTCAGTTTTTTAATATTTGCCATGTGGGTTCATCAGTCAGATTGACCTATAGTTTTCTCTTCCTGTGCTGACCTAATCTGATTTTTGATGTCAAGTGGATGCTAACTTTTGGAAGTATTTCTGTAGAAAAAACTTCCCAGAGTAGAATTGCTGGATCAAGGGGTCTGTGCATTTTTTGTTTTGATGGATTTTGTTAAATTGTTACTCAAAGAGAGGTTTTGCCAGTTTACATTCTAACCAACAACATATAATAGTTTCTCTTCACCCTTACCAACCTGGAGAACCTGTCATCAGCAATCAACTTTTTATTTCTTTTTTATGTGTGAGTTGAGCATCTTTGCATATGTTCAGAATCTGCACCCCACCCCACCCCCCCGCTCCCGCCCCACTGTTTCTTTTTCTATGAACTGTCTGTTCATGTCCTTTGCCAGGTGATTGGTTTTTCTTCTTATTTGGGCAAAGTCCTGGTTTAACCTTTCGTCCTACAGTGATATGCTGGTCTGGAATTTAAGCTCACTTCCCTCTGATGTTGATTTTAATGGCTACTGAAACTGGAAAAGACTATCATAAAGCCCTGATGCTTGGAGGGAAGTTAGCATTCTTGTTTCTGCCTCCTAATTCAATACACTTTCCAGTTGTATCCAGCAATTATGCAAAGGTTTTATTAGCTTTAAAATATCTATATTTCCTAATGACAAACAGCTATTCTACAAACAAATCAGAAGGTGTTGCATTTTAATATTTTTAACAAATAGATCCAAAACCAATACAGTTTGGTGGGGGGAAGGGAGTATAAGTAAGTGACAAGTAGGTGAGGAAATTATATTTCCAAAGTTTTAAGTGTTAAAACTGTGAGAATTTTTATGAGTGAACTACTTTCCTTTTTGCAACCAAATCACATGAAGAAGAAAACGTTTCAAAACAGGTATTTTAAAAGCATTTTCCAAGGCGTTGTATTATGGCTGATGAGGAGCTCCCTCTAGAGGGAGGAAAAATATCAGCACCAGAGTTTTGGTTCCACTAAAATACTGTTATAACTAATAAATGAATTCAGCAAGGTAGCAGGATACAAAATTGAAGACAGGGCTTCCCTGGTGGCGCAGTGGTTGAGAGTCCGCCTGCCGATGCAAGGGACACAGGTTCGTGTCCCGGTCCGGGAAGATCCCACATGCTGTGGAGCGGCTGGGCCTGTGAGCCATGGCCACTGAGCCTGTGTGTCCGGAGCCTATGCTCCACAACGGGAGAGACCACAACAGTGAGAGGTCCGCGTACAGCAAAAAAAAAAAAAAAAAATTGAAGACAAAAATCAGTTGCTAACAATGAACAATCCTAAAAGAAAATTATCCCCCCAAATGTATTTACAATAGCATCAAAAACAATAAAATACTTAGGAACAAACTTAGCCAAGAAAGTGAAAGACTTGTACAATGAAAACTACAAAACATTGCTGAAAATAATTAAAGAAAACATAAAAATATAGAAATATATCCCTTGTTAATGGATTGAAAGACTTAACATTGTAAAGATGTCAATACTACCCAAAGTAATCTATAGATTCAGTGCAGTCCCTATCAAAATCCTGATGACGTTTTTTGCAGAAATAGAAATTTCCTAAAATTCATATGGAATCTCTAGAAACTCTGAATAGCCAAAACAATCTTGAAAAAGAAGAATAAAGCTGAAGGACTCACACTTCATAATTTCAAAACTTACTGCAACGTTACAGTAATCAAAACAGTGTGGTACTGGCATAAAGACAGACATAGAGACCAATGGAATAGAAAAGAGAGCCCAGACATGGGCTCTGTTCAAGTTATTTTTTACAAGGATGCCAAAAACATTCAGTGGGGGAAAGGACAGTGTTTTCAACAATTGGTATGGGGAAAACTGGATATCTACATGCATAAGTATGAAATTGGACCCATATCCAACACCATATAAAAAATAAATTCAAAGTGGATCAAAGACCTAAAACTCTTAGAGGAAAACATAGGGCAAAAATTGTACAGCATTGGATTTCACAATGATTTCTTGGATATGACATCGAAGGCACAGGCAACAAAAGAAAAAATAGACAAATTGGACTACATGAAATTAAAAAAATTTTATGCATCAAAAGACACTGTTGGGCTTCCCTGGTGGCGCAGTGGTTGAGAGTCCGCCTGCCGATGCAGGGGACACGGGTTCGTGCCCCGGTCCGGGAAGATCCCACATGCTGTGGAGCGGCTAGGCCTGTGAGCCATGGCCGCTGAGCCTGCTCATCCGGAGCCTGTGCTCTGCAACGGGAGAGGCCACAGCAGTGGGAGGCCCGCGTACTGCAAAAAAAAAAAAAAGACACTGTTGACAGAGCAGAAAGGCAATCCACAGAATGGGACAAAATATTTGAAATAATGTATCTGATAAGAAATAAATATCCAGAATACAGAGAAACTTCTAAATCTTGACGACAACAACAACAACAAAACAAAAAAACAAGGAAAGGACTTGAATAGACATTTGTCCAAAGAAGATATACAAATGGCCAATAAGTACATATAAAAATGCTCAGCATTACTGATCATTAGGGAAATTCAAATCAAAACTACAATGAGATACCACCTCACACCCATTAGGTTGGATACTATTTTTTTAAAAAAACCAGAAAATAACAAGTGTTGATGAGAATACGGAGAAATTGGAACCCTTGTACGCTGTTGCTGGGAAAGTAAGATGGTATAGCTGCTGTGGAAAACAGCACGGTGGTTCCTCAAAAATTAAAGATAGAATTATTATATGGCAATTCCATTCCAGGTATATACTCAAAATAATTGAAAGCAGAGTCTTGAAGAATATTTGTACACCTATGTTCATAGCATTATTCACAATAGCTAAAATATCAAAGCACCCATGTGTCCATCGATGGATAAATGAATAAGCAAAATGTGGTATATACATACAATGGAATATTATCTAGCCTTAAAAAGGAAGGTAATTCTGATTTGTGCCACAACATTGATGAAACTTCAGGACATTATGCTGAGTGAAATAAGTCAGTCACAAAACAACAAATACTAAATGACTCCACTTATAGAAGGTAC